TGCATGAGAGGGAACCTTTAGCAACTAAATGGCTGCCATCCTTATTAACTATCAGGAAACCTAGAATAAAGCAAGAACAGAGAAACATTGCCCAATTCTCTTAGGGGAGTCCTGATCTACTTTGCAGTATAAGGCCTGACGACTGCATCAGAAGGATGAAAATAAGATGTTTGCCCTCTCCAAACCCTCCAGACATGTCACCTTTCCAAGCCTAATTCAGATGAGGAAATCAAAGGGCAGCTTTGCTCACTCACTACACCCGCTCTGATCTTCTGCAGCTGAGTCACTTCTTCCCAGACTCACTTCCTCTCTTGCAATAGGACCATCTCCCTAGAGAACCAGGCCTGCTTCAGCTCATTTTGCACACCAGGGGGCAGTATTGTCCCACAGAATCCTATTAGCCATGGGGGGAGGGGCAGGAAAACAAAACCAAGGTTTCCTATTGGGGTTTCAGTCCGGAAGCTGATTATTCTCTTAGTTGGTAGCTTGTAATTTTATAGAGGTGGTCCCATGTCAGTTCCGCTCCTCAAGAAGCTACTGTTCTCTCCACAGAAACCAAGGCTGAGTTCACTATAGTCCTCTTCTCTTGATCATAAAACTAACTGAATTTTTAGGAGACCACAATGTGATGTATTCAACTTTTTTTTGGAGAAAACGTTTGGTCCTAAAGTGATTTCCTGGTTTTAGTTTGTGACTTGCAAAGATACAGTCCTTTTTGTTTGGAAGTTATTCTTGGTTGTGTAACCTGCATCAAATTAACTTTGTTGGCATTAACAAACCATGGTAGCTTATCAATAATAGGTGAACTGTCATATGCTCTCCCACTCTGGCTCTAATGAGGCTAATACATAACTCTGTATGGGTGTCTGCACATTTTAGTTTTCAGTTTTTATTCTAGAAACACTTTTCTCTGTTGGAGGTTTTTCAGTAAATAAATAAATAGATAAATAAATAAATAAATAAACTTCCTCCCCTATAAATCTGCATCTCTTTGTAGAGCAATTTGAAGATATTATCTTGATGGGCTGATGATTTGTTCATCATCTAAATATCATTTCTGTAATATAAGATCAAGGAAATCAACAAGGTCAAAGCACACTGTAGCACTTTGATCCCCAAAGCTGTGTAAATTCAGGAGCAGTTTTCCTGCTCCAATTATGTATATGTCCTTTAATGTTGTAAGACATAGCTTTACTTCTTAAAAAGTAAACTTACTGCTTCACATATTTCTTAAGAATTTAAAAAATCTGCCTCGACTGGTGCTGGGGCTTGTTGAGCATCACAAAAGATGTTTAAAAGGAAGGTTGAAGGAACTCTAGAAGGTCAGAGCACCATGTGCTTGGTTGTAAAGTGATTTCTTGGGTTTACTTTGTGACTTGGAAAGATTCAATCTTTGTCCTTTAGAAAGCATACTGTCCTTTAGAAAGCATAGCTAGCATCAAATTAACTCTTGTTTCTTTAACAAACAACATTTAAGGGAAAGTAGCTTATCAAATTGGATGAACGGCCATATGCTCTCCCACTCTGCCTCTAGTGTGGCTATTAAGCTAATTTTTCATGGGTGTTTCGGCATTTGAGTTTGGATTCTACAAACATTTTTCAGAGTTGAAGTTGCTGAAAGAAAAAGCTTCACCCTTGAAAATCTGCACCTCTTTGTATAACAACTTCATGGGCTTAGGACTGGTTCATCATCTAAACATCATATTTAGCATAGTTTTTAACATAGGCTCAAGGATCTCTAGGAGGTCAGAGCAGAGACTGGCATTTTGATGCAGACATCTATGTGAATTCGACAGCAGTTTCCTGCTCAAATGAGCCATATAACCTTTCCCGTTGCAAGACATGGTTTTACCTCCTATAAGATAACCCTCCTGCTTCACTTATTTCTTAAGGCAATAAAAATTGGGCCCTTCCCAAGTACAGTTTACAAACTTACCCATTTTTCCATTTATTTTTCTTACCTCTCATAGTTGATTCAATTTCCCTTCTGTATATATAAAGTTTTCCAACACTGAGCTGAAGTTGCAGGAGCAAGCGACACAGCTGTATGGTTAGAACACTGTTCTGATCAGTTCTGAATGTTGTCTGGGAAAAGTGGTCTATATCTTATCTTCTGATCAAGAGATGGCAAAAAAAAAAAAAAGCCTGATCCTGCTTGTTCTCCAAAGTAGGGGAAGAAATAGTTTTTTACATTATTCTTTTTAAATATTCATCTATTCTGTTAACCTCTAGTTAAGTGCCTTTGATTTTCTTTCTGGATGTAAAGCAACTAATTTTCTTTATTTAATGGATGGTATATGTGGAGAAGTCAAAGATGGACAACAGCTGGATCTCTAGCATTATAGAACTACTTCCTTCCCTACTTTGGGCTTAATTAATGGACAACCAGAAAAGTTGACCACCCATCTTTCAACTGGCATTCATTACTGGAGCACTTTAAAGATATGCTACAGGGTCTCTACTGCAATTGATCAGTAGACTTCATCAATCTCCTGAAGAGCCTTCATTTCTTCTCCATCTCATTTTTCCACCTAGAATACGAAAAAATCTCCTTGGAGAATGTGGCGTGTGCTTCCCTTGGTCATCCTGCACACCAGGAGCACTAATGTCACACTGATGCCATTGGCTGGGGCGGGGGGAGGTAAATAAAACCAATGTGCACAGATAGGGTCTCATTTCCAAGGCAGATGTTTTCCTTCTGGTGTGCTTAAAAAGTCACCCAATGGCTCTCCAGAGAATGCCTCTTCTCAAGAGACCACAATCCGCCCCATCAAGCATGACTGAGTTCAGAAGAGATGTGTCTTGGTAGCTGTAGATCTCTGAAATCTCTGCAAAGTAGAAAGTGTCATATTCATCTTTCTTGGGCCACTGAGAAAGTGGACACTATGAAGGCATGATGTGATTACTTTGATTTTGACCTTGCAACTTGGTGGGGACCCATCTTCTATGGCTTTCAAATTGTGCTTTGTGCCTGAGTCTGCATGCAGTTAATATGAGTTTCTTCAAAACAAAACAACAAAATCCGGTTAAGGAAACAAAGTATCCTGAACTCAGATGTGCCATCCTTTTAAGTTCTGTCTTTAACACGTCTGCCTGAACAATTCTTAGTCCGTGCTTTCTCTGTGTCACCTAGAAACACTTTCTTTAGCTTTAACCCTAAAGATTTTCTTTTACCTAATGTAACATAAACCTGTCCTTTCTACTCACAATAAATTTAAAAAAAAAGGAAAGGCTTGCCTTGTCTGTTCTTAAGTTTTTCCATCATTTCAAAATCACCATTATAAGATATGCAAAGAAACGAATAAACAAAAGGAGTGAATGGCTCTTCTATCCCAAGTGATATGTAAATTGAGGCACAACTTCCTGTTTCAACAAGCCCTATACATTCCTTTCTTGGGGCGACATCCATAAGTACAAAGTTTGTGCACCTTCCTGTTGTTTCCCATCGGTTCATTAGAGGGAGCAAAAATGATCTTTTGGCTAAAGTTGGTATCCTTACTAGTCATCCTCAGAGGTGATTCTTCCCTCTCTATAGACTTTCCTTCCATTTTTTCTTCTTCTATGCAAGAGAGCTCACAAAACAACCTTTTTTTTCCAGATGTCCAGTCAGAGATCCCACTGCTAGAGTCTGGAGGGGATGTGAGAAGGCCTGGAGACTCCCTTAATCTCTCCTGCCAAGCTTCTGGCTTTTCCTTCAGCAGTTACGGCATGCACTGGGTGAGACAGTATCCAGGGAAAGGATTAGAATGGGTTGCTTACATAGGCACCTCCTCAACTCCTATGTACTATTTGGATAAAGTGAAGGGACGCTTCACCATCTCCAGGGACAATGCCAATAACCAGCTGTATTTGCAAATGAACAACCTCAAGCCAGAGGACACAGGACGCTATTACTGCGCAAGACACAGTGAGAAGAAGTCCATCTGAAGCCAAGCAAATACCTTCTGCTCCTCAGAACAGTTCTCCAAGTTGATTCAGTCCCAGAGGGTTGGATCTGCCAATTCAAATGGAAAAGGAAAGTCTGCATTCCAGGAAGATGGAGTACAGGGTGAATCTTGATGAAAGCAACATAGGACTTGGTTACTGGAAACCTCAGGCCAGAAAATAAAGTAGGAAAATGAATAAAGTGAGAAGTCAGAAAATGAGTGAGTACATTAAAAAAAAAAAAAAAATCCTGAAAGGAGGCAGCAGCAAGCTCCCCACAAACTTCAGCTCTCTGAAATTTCTTTAGAACTACACATTTGGAGTTATTAATCAGAACTCCTGATTTGTATTCTTGTTCTGCAGTTCAACTCATTTTTACATGATTTGGTGATATTTAGGAGAAGAAATAAAAATCCACGACGTCCAGAAAATACAATCTTCTTTAAACAAGACTTCATGCAAGTTGATTCTCTGCTACCTTGAATCATTTTTGACAAATGGTGACATTTTTCAAGACTTTGTTTTAATTATTCTAAAGTAAATGTGCCCTTTCTCCTATGAACTCACAGAAAAAGGAAGGAAGGAAGGAAGGAAGGAAGGAAGGAAGGAAGGAAGGAAGGAAGGGAGG